CAGTTTAAGGAAAAATACATAAGAGGACAAACAACCATTGGTTCAACTACTTAAAAAAAACTTAGCAATTCTGATATAATCAAAATATAATTGATTAGGAAATTTTTTTTCCTTAAAATTAACCAATTTTATTTCTCAAAATACATTAAGTCATCGAATATATATACCTTATTCAAATGTTGTGCTATATAACCTCTTCCACAACCAACATTCAAAGCAAGGGGGAAATCCCTAAAAAACAGACACAAAAGTTATGTTTTGTCCGTAATAATACAGCCCATAAAATAATTATTAAGATCTAATTTAACTTATAATTTACTAAATTATAAAAACTAATTTGAAAATGAACACAACTCTCAAAAAGTTTTATTTATTATCTGTCTTTTCTGCCTTGCCCTTGCAAGCTATATCTACCAGAGAACATACCTAACAGAGCAAATCTGTCTGGTCTAGCCATTCACAGGACCTCACAATCAATCGGTTACTCCATGACATGGATTCAAAGAAGATTTAGTGGGGTATTTTAATTTGATAATATATCCAGATAAAGAATGAAAAAAAGTTAACATAAATTAACATGACAATATTAGGCATACTTATCAAGAATTTACTAATAACCTTTTTCTCGAATTTGTTGAGGCAGCAGATGACTTAGAAATCATCATGTGAAATACCATGATGTATCAATATGTTTAAAAAGAAAACAAAACACCAACTAAATAACAGCTAACTTTCACTGCAATCTTACCGGTTCAGAGCAGTACGCTAGTGCTGAGAGTTAAGTCAAACCAAGGTCATTCAACTAAAAAGCAGCAGTCAGAACTTGAATTCAGTCAGTTTGAATCCTGAAACAGAACTATTATCCTCTATGCTATGCTGTCTCCTCTAAATATATCATGTCATATTAAATCAGTACACATGTCTAATTGTAGGCCATAGGCTTATGAAAAACTTATGACAAGAAAACTTAAAATTTTATCCACTAATAACATTTTTCCTATTGGAACTAAAAGAGCCCGTTTTCAATTTCTGTTAAAAACCTATGTCAAAAACATAGAACACTAGTACACAGTTGGAGAACCTCTGGTGACTGAGAACGGTTTATTTACCTAGCACCCTCTGTCTTGATTGTGAACACAGGCAGTATGACACAGTGAAGTACAGGCTTTGCAATCAGAAAGTCAGAATTGTGGGCCTGCAATTTACTGACTCTATGGCCAGAGAGAAGTGATTTAATCTTGCTGGATCTGTTTCCCCATCTATAAAATGGAAAAGTTATTACCTCCCTCAGGGCTAGTGTGAAAATTTCATGAAATAGTGCATGTAAAGTATTTAGCCCAGTACAAATGCTCAACAAAGTTAGTTATGAGTTATTACTATCATTGATTAAAACAGTATGAAGCACCAGATAACAAGGCACTTAATAATCTGTGGAGTTAGTTTTGAAAAACCATCAAAAGATTAGTGTTGACAATATAAACTACTCTTTCTAATAAAAGAACATTAGTGTAAGAACATTTAGACTGCTATTTTCAATAATATAATTCTAAAGAGCTATTATTAGTTTAACACATGCTTTTAGCCATGATCACAGGTCTCTACATAGGCCTGTGTTTTGTTCAATACTACGACATTAAAATATTGTAAAATTCAAACTGATTTGGAAAATTTAATGTTTCATTTATTAAATCACAAACGGCCTAAAATCCAGGCAAATGAATGATTACAGTATAGAGAATTAGCTATTTTTTAGATCTTTAAAATTATGGAGCTAATAAAACAGGTGAAATGGGGGTGATTATTTCCAACAGTGAAACTTTTTACCTTACAAAATTAATTCATCCCAAGACTATTTTAAGTAGCAAGGATATATCTAAAATGATTGAGAGTTTTTGTAATTTTACAAAATTTCCTTTTTTATAGACAAATGTAATAAATTCATCCCATATTGGTCTAATTTAATGGATGTCCCTTAAACAAGAGCACAAAAAGTGATTTACTAACATCACAGAGCAATTCTATGGCAAAGCCATTATTTAACTGTGCTTCCTGCCACAAATAATCTGTAAAGCTTTCGTTATGCCTGATATAGAGCAACGAATCCATCAAAGTTTTAATAATTGCTTGAAGAAAGTGTTCTTTTCTCACGTCTGCCTCTATATAATTGTTATAGAACATTTACTGCTATTAAGAATACTTAAAAAAAAAAAATCCTCCACTACTAGACTGAAGAACAACACAACAGCAACTTGTCTGTTCCCCTTCCCGATTCCCCAGTGCTGTTCCCATCCCCCCAATTCCCCAATAAAATCTTTTTAAAAAAAAGAATACTTAAGATAAAATGGCCAAAGTCTCATATAACCTGACTGGGAAACAAATCTCAGTAGGTTCTCCTTCACTTAGATGGTAAAAGGTTCTGTTGTTAATTTTAGTAAAACTCGTAAAGCTAAGTTTAGTAAACCTTAAAAATTCACATATAGTCAATTCTTTAATCTTCTTTTTTTTTTTTTTTAATAAGCGTTTATTATCAGAGCACAGGTGGTATGAGAAGGCAGCAGGTTAACAACTCCAAAATCCGCCTTCTTTATCTCCATTTTTGGACAATCTTTCCATTACTGATTTTTGGCCAAGTCAAGTGATTCAGTCATTCAAGCTTGGAAAGAAGCTAGGTGTTGTGCTCCCATTCATTCTTTTTTTTAGGCAACAATGAAGAACACTTGCTCGGCTAGACATAAAAAAATGAGAGACTTAAGAGAGTGATTAAAATCACTAACCCTGGTAATAAATCCCTCCAGATCTGCCATTCCAGGAATCAAGCTCTCAGCGTTTAATCTCACGTCTCCAGTCAAAAGTTAATTGTATTTTATTATGTATTTATCATCACCTACCTGGCTATGTCGTATACACGGTCTGCAATCCGACTTCCAACCTGGAGAATTACAAGAGGCAATGATGTACACAAGTTAAAACAAGTGGGTTTAACAGAGAATAACACTCTTTTTCCAGTATTCAACAATCCATAGGTTACTTATGTTTCAATATGTTTATAAGTACTTCTCTTTATCCCCTTTTCAATTTGACCACAGCAATGTTCTTTTCAAATTCTGAATAGGTACATAAGAAATTAAAATATCCCAGGAAACAAACCTCATTCCTCTCTCTCTCTCTCTCTCTCTCTCTCTCTCTCTCTCTCTNTACAATGTCACTGAACACAGAGATGCTAACAATCAGCTCTCATGTGCCAGCAGGAGCTAGCTTCAGCACATCAGTGGTTGTAGGTTATTCATGTTGGGGCCACATCTACTGATAAACACCAGAGATAGTGTGCAGGGAAAAATAAAAAAGAAGGCAACCATGTATATCTATGTAACCCCAGAGAGCAAGTGAACAGAGGGCTTTCATTCTGATGTTTCAAAGTCCCCATCCCTTGTGGTACCTGTCTGTACTTTGTGATCCTTGAGTGACATAAAAGCCTCTAAGTAATAAATGTCCCTGATTTCCACTGGCTTCAGTGGATTTCTGCTTCTTAGAATCAAAAGATACCTTATTAAGACTCTGTCCATCTTGCTGTTCTGGCATTCTTGCTGGGTCCTCCTCATTCTCCCACCCCGAGATACAATTGTGGAAGGTTTCTTTCTGTATTCTCGCCCCAGAGAGCTGACCTATTCCTATGGCTTCGACTGTTACCTCTGTCAGAGGCTTCCAAATGAGAATAGCTTCCACTTTGCCAAAGTTAACTTGTCTCACTTAAGCCTCTTGCCAACCTGTTGAGATATATTATTGCTCACATTTTACATAAACTGGGGCCTGCAGAAGTTGGGTTACTGGTCAAGGTGTGCAGAGACAGCAAGTGGCAGAGTTGAATACTTTGAATATTGAATCCCTGTGTCAATGCCAGTGCCACATTTCCAACTACCTGAACATTAACACTAATACATTCCACCATCACCTGAAACTCAACTTATCTAAAATAGGAGTACCCCTTTCTCCTTGCCCCACTGCATCCCCTGACTTTTTCCAGTCACTGAAGTCATAACTTGAAAGCTATCTTGCATTTATTCATGCAATATGCATTTAATAAATCTTCATTGTGTGTTCTAGGTACTGGAAGTTTAGTGGTGAACAGAAATGAACAAGTCTATGGAGCTTACATCCCAGTAAAAGAAGACAGACACCAAATCAACAAAGATACATCAGCTGCTAATAAGTGCTATGGAAACAAATAAAGCAACTAGCCAGTGGAGAATAGGGGCCCCATTTTATAGAATAGTCAGGGAAGGGATGGATTTTTGATGAGGGATCATCTGAGCAAAGACCTGACAGAGAGGTGAGTAAGCCACACAAACATGTTGGGAAAGAGCATACAGAACAACAAGCACAATGCAAAGCCCTGGCCAGTTTGAGACTGCAAGGAGGCCAGCTGCTGAAAAGTGGGGAGTGAGGGGAAGGAGATGAGTCACAGACGTGATGGAGAGCCAGATCACCGAGGGCCTTATGGAGTAGCACTCTGGTTATTACTAAGTTAGATGAAAAGCCAACAGTTCTGAGCAGAGGACTGACAACGAATTGACTTGTGTTTTAGAAGGATTTCTTTGCTGTGAGAATGGACTAGGGCACGGGTAGAAGCACGGAGGCCAATAAGGAGGCTACTATAATACCGATCAATATGGTGATGTGAAAGTGGTAAGAAGTGGCAGAGTTATGGATATACAACACCTTGGTTTGCAAGCATAATTTGTTCCGGAAACAAACTACTCATACTGCAAGACGTCGCTCGTTTACCATGTTAAAATGTACTTGGCTTGCAAGCATAATTTGTTCTGGAAACAAACTACTATTGCAAGACATCACTCATTTATCAAGTTAAAATGTATTAGAAATGTTTGCTCGTCTTGCGGACTACTCGCAAACCAAGTTACTTGCAATCCAAGGTTTTACTGTATTTTGAAATCCAAATAAAATTTGCTAATGAAATAGGTGTGGGAAAGAAGGACACAGGAGGAATCAATGAGTAAGTTTTCTGGCCTGAGCAACTAGAAGGATTTGCTGTGCCCACCACATCTTGATCAGTCATCAGGTTCTGTGTATTCTACTAGGTCTCTCTCATACATCCCTTCCATTATATCTAGCTGCCTCCAAATGGGTGGCAGATCTTTCTCTCTCATGCCGGCACTGCCTTTAACACAGCCTCCTAATTGGTCTCTTTCTTTATCCTCTCCCTTCTTCAATCCTTCTTGCATACCTATCCTCACATTAATCTTCCTTAAACATCATTATTTCCCACCCTACAGCATTCTACCTCTATGCCTTTCCTTCTGCCATACTCTTACTTCCAATGCCTATGAAACACTAGTTCAGTCTGGGCCCTTTCACAAGCCTTTGACCACATGGACCGCTACTGATTTTCCTTTCCCTTCACTCCAGCTGCCTTTTTGTGGCAGTTACTATTATCAACAACAGCGGTTGGGGAGCCTCACACACAGCCCTTCTCTGGCCCTGGCCCAAATGTATGTTTTTTTCTTAAGCTTTTATATAGAAATCCCATTTTAATCTGTGTCCAAAGTATCCTACATATAGAGGCTAAAAAATTAAATGAATGTCTGTGGTCTGAATTAGAAAATGCAAAATAAAATGGTATAAGCATTAATAAAGGCTGAATTTTTTCCTAGCTAAATCACACTGAAATTACAATATTTTGCCATGTATAATGTGCTCCTGTGTATAATGCACAGCACCCATGTTTTTGGCCCAAACTTTCAGGGGAAAAAAACCCTTTCATTTTAATTTTTTAATTCAGATTTTTATTTGTTTACATTTAGTACTTGTTTTTTGTATCATAAAAGAATTTTAGCATTTATTTTTTAACATATTATGGTACAAGAAATTTTATGTAACAAATAATTACAAAACATAAGAACAGATACAAGGTACAAGAAATTTTATGTACCAGTAACAAATTTACGATATTTATGCATCACAGAAGGCTAAGAACTCTTCGTAGTTGCAAGTTCATCGTAAGTTCATCAAAACCAATGATCGTATTCCAGGGTATTATTTTGCATACAGATATCATTATTGGTTTCTAGAGTTATAGTTTTAACTTATAAGCATAAAAAAAGAATAAAAAACATTTATATAAATACGGAATTAGTCCTGCCCATGTGTAATGCACATCCTTATTTTTCCCTCACAAATTTGGGCAAAAAAAATGCACATGTACATACAGCAAAATACGGTAATATTTTTTCCTAGCTAAAAAATTACCTTAATCAAATTTTCTAAATTAATGTCAATCTGATTCTATTGTGAATTAGTAAAAAACATCTGAGCAAAAGTAATAAAGAGTAACATATTTTATATAGATTTAAAAAAACTGTCAATAGGAACAATGTATAAAATGGATTCAAAGTNGGAAGTAAAAGACCGTACTCAGAAAATTATAAGACATTGAGGAGAAAAATTAAAGAAGACACAAATAAATGGAAGCATATAACATGCTCATGGATAGGAAGAATTAGTTTAAAATGTTCATACTACCCAAAGCAATCTATAGATTCAATGTAATCCTTATCAAAATACCAATGGCATTTTTCACAGAACTAGAACAAATAATCCTAAAATTTCTATGCAACAATCAAAGGCCCCAAATAGCCACAGCAATCTTGAGAAATAAGAACAAAGCTGGAGGTATCATGCTACCTGATATCAAATTATATTACAAAACCACAGTAATCAAAACAGCATGGTATCGGCATAAAAACAGACACATAGATCAATGGAGCAGAAGAGAACCCAGAAATAAATTTATGCCCATATCATTATGTAATATATGACAAAGGAAACAAGAATACACGTTGGGGTAAAGACACTCTATTCAATAAGTAGTGTTGGGGAAACTAGACAGATACATGCAAAACAATGAAACTGGAACACCTTCTTATGCCATATACAAGAATAAACTCAAAATGGATTAGACTTAAATATAAGACCCGAAATCATAAAACTCCTAGAAGAAAATATAGGAAATAAACTCTCAGACATTACTGTTAGTAATATTTTTACTGATATATCTCCTTGGCAAGGGAAACAAAAAACCCCATAAATAAATGGGACTACATCAAACTAAAAAGTTATTGCACAGTGAAGGAAACCATTGACAAAACGAAAAGACATCCTACTGAATAGGAGAAAATATTTGCCAATGATACATCTGATAAAGGTTTAATATCCAAAACTTACATAAAATTCATACAACTCAGCACCCAAAAAACAAACAATCCAATTAACAAAAGGGCAGAGGACCTGAATAGACATTTCTCCAAAGAAGACATACAGGTGGCCAATAGACATATGAAAAGTTGCTCATCATTACTAATCATCAGAGAAATGCAAATAACAACCACAATGAGATATCACCTTACACTTATCAGAATGGCTATCATCAATAAATCATCAAACAACAAGTGCTGGAGTGGATGTGGAGAAAAGGGAATCCTTGTGCACTGTTGGTGGGATTGCAAATTGGTGCAGCCATTGCAGAAAACAGTATGGAGTCTCTTCAAAATGTTAAAAAATCCAATACTAATTCAAAAATATATATGCACCCCTATGTTTAGTGCAGCACTATTCACAATAGCCAAGATATGGAAACAACCGAAATGCCCATCGACAGATGACTGGATAAAGAAACTGTGGTATATTTATACAACGGAGTATTACTCAGCCATAAAAGGAATGAAATCTTACCATTTACAGCAACATGGATGAACGTAGAGGGTATTATGCTAAGTGAAATAAGTCAGGCTGAGAAAGAGAAATACCATATGATCTCACTTATATGTGGACAGAATAAACGAGCAAACAAAACAGAAATAGACTCACAGATACAGAGAACAAACTGATGGTTGCTAGATGGGAGGGGGTTTGGAG